GAAACAGAGAAATCATGATATTTCTATTCTCCCCAGGTTCTTATACTGCTCTCATCACCATGCTGAGTGCCTTCCATTAATCCTGTTACTTAATGCACTAACAGCTGTTATTTGTCTCAGCGGGGAGGTCTGCAGCTCAATTCCAATTAAACAGGCCCTCAGGTGAAATGATTACATTTAGGTTTCCCTCTCCCTGCTCAAGGGCAGGAGAACAGCATGGAAGACCTTGGATTCCTGGCTCTCCCCTGCCCTTGAATGGTGTGTGCCGCTCCCATGATTAACAGCAGCATTACACCTCAAGTGTCAAGCCACGTTTGCACAAAAAAAAAAAAAAAAAAAAAACAAAGAAAAGAAAAAAAACGCCTTTTTAAAAGACATTTTCATAAAACCCAGTGTAAAACAGCTCTGATATCTTGGGATGGAGACGCATAGCTCCACAGATACGCATCCCCAGCTTCAGAGGAAAACCAGCCACATTAACATCCCAGGCAGCTTCACCTCATCATTGATCACATTCAGTATATGCATATGGAAGAACATCTGTTCCCTGGGCTTGTTTTCCCCGTCACCACAAACTACCTTGAAAGCTAATACTCTTGAAGCAGAGAGAGAAGGGGCATTTCTGCATGAATTACAGCAATGCTTATGACAAAGTAGACCAGCAGAACATTTAATTTCAATAAGTGATGGGCAAATGCCCAGAGGATTTAGCAATGTTAACTCTAAATCCCGTTGACCTTTTCTTTCCCCACTGGTCTGATATTAGGTAAACAAGATCTAAACCATAGAGGGCAAAGTTTTCAGTCCTATTTCTTGACTGTTTATGAGAAGTTACTCCAACTTGCTTGGGGAACGGTCTCAGCGTTCTACATTTGTACAGCACCTAGCACTAGAGTAAGGCAAGGGTCTTGGCCTATAAACAGGGCTTCTAGCTATTACCTATAATGTAGATGTTTGTGAACACGAAGGCACATATAAGGTGAATACATAACGCTTGTAGTTTGTTAGTCTTGCTATGGGTTTTTATCCATGGAGATGACATAGAAGACTTCTTTAAATGAAAACATTTGATTTTTTTTATTTTTATTTTTTTTAATTAAAAGGTGCTGAATGTAACTGGAAGCGTGTTCTGAGCACTGAGGAGCAGCTTTGATGCAATTCCATTCTCTGCTTGTTCTATCTTAGCACTACTTATATATTTATAAGTCATGTTTTTATTGAATCAATGGGGCAAGAATATTTGCTCAGCGTTCCAGGCCAGGGGTTGGCAATTTGTGGTCCATGG